TTTTTTTGCTTCAATTAGAATACTGTACAATAAGAGAAAATATATTAATAAAAACATTTTTATGTAAAGTATAAAGTTTTTAAAATGCTAGTTAGAATAGCCTGCTAGGAATTCTGGAATCTTCATCCTTAGGTTTTTTTTGTTTTCTTAAAAATTTGCCACAGGGCACATGTGCTCACCTAAGAGATGAGAGAGAAACCGAGTAGGAAAGCACTCCCCCAAAGGGGATGGCCACTCTGCAATCCCTTTGCCTCCATTTTTCCTGGCTTGCGTTTAAAATGCCTGCTTACCCCTCAGTTTTGGAGACAGTACTTTTACAGTCTTCGCGTCCAAAATTGGGAGATTAGAGGACTGATAACTGGCCCAGATAAAGAGGACAATTTTTGCATTTTCTCCACTCTCCTTCCCATAACTTAACCACGAGTCTGTATGGTATACATACAGCCTTCCTCTGAGTCTGTGTGGTGTACATACGGCCTTCCTCTGAGTCTGTGTGGTGTACATTCAGCCTTCCTCTGAGTCTCATATTCTGTATACTTTGTTCTCCTGCTAATCTGGCAGTCTGATTATTTCATAGACTAAATGTTATTGAATGTTACAAGAAAGAGGAAAAAATTAAGAACTTTTCTACAGTTGGGACCAACAGATGGCATAATGGCTATGTCACTGGACTCCCATGTAGTTGACATTGGTTCGAGTCCCGGACCCGGTGACTTAAACTCATGCTGGACGGGTGTGTGTGAGTGCCCAAGGTCCGGAGAGGAGAATGGAGGAGAAGGGATTGTGATGAAGCCATCCCACCTGGGGGGGTGATTGCTCACTTTCTGTTTCTCTGTCTCTCTCTGTCTTCTGGCAAGCACACACACCCTATAGCAAAAAGCTCTCCAAAGGAAAAAAAAAAAAAAACTTTCCTACAGCTTAAAGATGACCCATATCCTTAAATTATATTTTGATGTAATTAAAAATATCAAAGCATTGTACCTCCATAAATATGTATAATTATTATGTTAATTCAAAAATAAAATAGCCAAAGCCAAATAGAAGATATAAAATTTTATAATACATAGAAAAACTAAAATCACTTTGTCTAAAATACACTAAATTTTAAAAGTATGGAGCTTCTGGAAGCCATCAAATGGTGCAATGGTTAAGGCTCTGGACTTCCACATAGTCAATCATGGTTTGAGTCCCAGACCTGGCTGCTTACTTTTTTAATCTGTCTCTCGCTCTCTCTCTCTCTTTCTCTCTCCCCTTTGCCTCTTTGGTGAGCACATGTGCCCCATAGCAAATTAAAATAATAATAATAATAATTAAATAAATAATTTTTATGAGAGATTTTTGCTATGGGGTACATGCATTTGCCAGAGAGACAAAGAGAGACAGAGAGATAACAAGTGAGAAATCACTCTCTGAGAGGGATGGCCATGCCACAATCTCTTCTCTATTTTCCTTTCGGGATTCTGGGCACACACATATATGAATCTAGCGTGAGTTTTTTTGTTTGTCTGTTTTTTGTTTTTTATTTTTGTTTTTGTTTTGAGAGGTTTTTGCTACAGGGTGCATGTGCTCACCAGAAAGACAGAGAGAGACAAAGAGATAGAGAGCAAGAAATCACCCCCAGGAGGACATGGCCATGCAGCAATCCCTTCTTCATTTTCCTCTTGGGATCTTGGGCACATACACACGCGCCCGGCGTGAGTTTAAGCCACCGGGTCCGGGACTCGAACCACGGTTGAGTACATGGGAGTTCAGTGACATAGCCATTATGCTAACTGCTGGTCCTGCATCCGGCATGAGATTTAAGCTGGCGGGTCCGGGATTTGAACTACGATCGACTACGGGGAGTCCAGTGATGTAACCATTACATCATCTGCTGATACCCAATAAATAATTTTTTTTAAATGGGACTTCTAAATAGCTGGATGCATGGAGGCTCCTAGAGGACATGGAAGACCCAAGATCCTTCTCCCAGACCTTGCCCTGTGACTCTCTTCCTTTTGGCTTTTGGCCTGTATCCGTTGTACTATTCTTTATAACAAATGGGTAAATTTTTTAAAAAGGTAGCACATTCTCTCCTTTTAAAAGCAGCTTCTCCTAAAACAACACTCAAAATGAAACACTTGTTATCTTCCACCAGAAGAAAGACAAAACACGGCAGAAAGAAAAATGAGCACATACAGACAAGCTATGTTACACTGGCTTAAGCTATTTTTCTTCCCTTATGCATTTAATGTTCTATGGCCAGGGATTGTGGATACAATAGCAATAAAGATAATTCTCTATTCATCCAGTAAATTGTTTTAATGTGAAGAATTTTACTATGGGTTACAACAACTATGAAGATGACTTGTATTCTGGCATTCGGTCCACCTGAGGATGTGGAAGAATGGCCCTGGCCCTCATATTTGTACATCATGTTATACCCACTACCTCTTCCTCCCTTCTTCCAGAGCCTGAGACCCAAACATCTTACCCACTACAGCCTCCGTAGATTTCCCTTCTGCAGGAAGAGGGAAGTACTGGTTTGGTGATAAGTTGCTGCCATACCCCAGGAGAAAACCTTCAAGCTTTACATTAGGACTTGGACGCAGAAATTTCAAGAGGATGGAGTCACTCGTGGTATTGATGTGGACTTTCAGGCTTGGCCTTTTACCTAAAATTGGGAATGAGAAAAATATGTGGTTGTTATTTCACTTCATCAGCATCCTCCACAAATTCCCAGTAAGGGTTGGTTGTTCGAGGCATAGTTTTTGGGAAAACATTCTATCTAATTGCAACTCAGTATCAAAATACACACACACACACACACACACACACACACACACACCCAAGATGAAACTGATTTTGAGATAAAAGAAAATGGTATTAACATGTAAAACAGCTTAGACTGTAGAGTAAATGTTAGGGTTCAGTACTTGGTACTGAACTTGGTACTATTGAGCAGATAAACAGAAGGCAGGCTATTTGGGCTGTCTATAGCTGGTCAAAACATTCACTTTATGCATACTGGGTATGAGGGACCTGCAGTTGGTTTAATGGCTATGTCGCTGGACTCTCATGTAGTCGACCGAGGTTCAAGTCCCAGACTCGGTGGCTTAAACTCATGCCAGGTGCGTGTGTGTGCATGTCCAAGATCCTGAGAGGAGAATGGAGAAGGGATTGCGGCATGGACATTACCCCTAGGGGGTGATTTGTCGCTTTCTGTCTCTCTCTGTCTTCCTGGCGAGCACAGGCACCATATAACAAACACCCCACAAAAAAAAAAAAAAAGTTATACACACTGGGTATGATCAAAGGACCTGGATTTTCTTACTGGCAAAATGAAGCTTCTATACTTTGAAAACCTCCAGCCTCCTCTCTGCTGCTGTCCAATCCCACAGCCACAAGTCTTACTAATTGACAGAGTTGGAAAGAAAGAGAAGAAGGAAGATTTTTGGATTAGGGGGTAACAAAGATGGAAGAACAGGAAGTGCTGGAGACAGAGAAGGGTTGAGGAGAAAAGCGTTCAGTTCCATGGGGTAGTTGCTGGGTCAGTGAGACCCCTACAAGAAAATGCCTAATATTGAGTGGGATTTCTAACTGTGGTCTCAGGACTGGAGTACTGACCCATCTGGTGTCACTAGCTTGTAAATAATCTTTGAGGTGGAGAGTGAGGAGAGAGACCTTACTTTAGATTTGCAAGATTTTTTTCTTTCTTTTTTTCTTCAAAATTGAACTGACAGAGTTTATTGAATTTGTCTAAATATTAACTAAAATAGAACTATGGAAATTGTGATTGCTGAAGTGCAAGAAAGTTATAAGTATTTGCTTACATAATACACAAAAACATTATATTGTGCTTTATAATATGATTCATGAAAACGAAAACTTTCAGGAGGAAAAGTTAGAGGAAGTATAGGGGCACTCATTTTCTTCTTATTACAGCAGAAAGTCAGGCAGTAGGGACAATAATCACACTATCCACAGATGTTACCCAAGCAGTAAGGAAGAACATTGTCTTCTGTCTTTGGAACCAGAAAGAGCCAGGTTCAAACTTTAGTTCTGTTACTTATTCATGAGTGTGGTCTCTGGCAACTCAGTGAGCCTTAGCTTCCTGGCTTGTAAACGGTGAATAACATCTACCTTCTTGCTGGGTTATTTATAAAGATTTGTGCAGATGCCACAACCTTAAAGCTGGCACAAAGTAATCATTTAATCAGTGCTTACCAATACATGTCCCCAATCCTTTAACCATATTAAAAAAATCCAAACATCTTTCCTTCCTTCCTTCCTTCCTTCCTTCCTTTCCTTCTTTTCCTTCCTTCCCTCCTTCCCCCCTAACTTCCTTCCTTCCTTCCTTCCCTCCTTTCTCTCTCTCTCTCTCTCTCTCCTTTCTTTCTTTCTCTCCCTCTATCTTTCTTTCTTTCCTTTTTTTAGTAAGTTCATCCCAAACACATTTGGCAACAAAATCCAATCTGAACCATCACGAGGTCATTTAGTCCACCCCACTCCTGTGACTATTCACATATTTAATTAGAGAAATGTGTTTAGTTAAGTGGTGTTACTAAAGAAGTTATATAAAAAATGATCTAGGCATTCTAGTACTTTACTAAAATGCCCCAAATTCCTAAATTCTAAAAATAGCTGGTCCCATGTTCAGTTTTATGTAAGAGATTGTTAACATAATATATTTTCTTTCTTTATTCTCTCAAGGTTTGTTTATTTATTTATTGTGCAAGATTTGCTATAGGGTGTGTGTGCTCGCCAGAAAGATAAAGAGAGACAGAGAGACAGAAAGGGAGAAATCACCCCCTAGGAGGGATGGCCACGCCACCCTTCTCCTCCATTCTCTTCTCAGGATCTTGGGCACGCACGCACACGCGCCAGGCGTGAGTTTAAGACACCGGGTCCAGGACTTGAACTGTGGTCGACTATATGGGAGTCCAGCGACATAGCCATTATGTCATCTGTTGGTGCTCCGCCCCCCCCCGAGGTTTAATATTTTAAAAAATGTTTTGCCTATTGGGAAACTGCTTTTACCAATTTAACAATGCACATTCTATTTCTCCTTAGTCAAAAACTTACATTGTATAAATACTCATCGCCATGTCTTTACAACAGGGACCTCCCCAAGGTCATCACACTGAATTTGTTCTGCTCTAGCCAAAATGGTCTTGGATAGCTTCAATATAACTACATAAAAGGATCCAATTAGGCCTTTGGAAAAAGAAAATCAGTCTTGTGTTTGGATACCAGATTATGGAAATCACTCTTATTTCAGTGGCCAGAAGTATAATTTCTATGTGTATGCATAGTACTTTGTCCTTCCCAAGAAACTGATTAAATTTTTAAAAATCTTCTTTATTTTCAGACTGTTATTCTTACACCTGTGGCAAGCGAAACCCAGAGATGTTGGGTGGTTTATCCAAAATCTGAGAAAGGGACCGTACAGCTCATCAGCTCAGTTCCTCCAAATGAGGAAACTGGGACCTCACTCTGCATGTTAAATTCAGGGTCATGTTGGATCACAGGTTCTTTCTAGACTGGACTCCTCTGTTCTGGTTTTCACTGAGAAATTCATCATTACTGAACAGTGTAAGGAGTGAATAAAACTACAGGCCATAATGCTCATGTTAATGCCAACAACTGATGCTCTGTGCTAACGTTGCCAGATTTTGATAAACTGATTTATATTAAAGATAAAAGATAAGATATAATCCATGCCATTTTTTCACTTTTTAGCAGTGTGCCTGAGTTAACTCTATAGTCACTCCATTCTGTTCAATGGAATAGAACAAATATAAGTCAGTGTGTATTCTACTGCCTTACAAGGTTATCACGGCTCACAGTAAATCAGAACACAGCCAGCCTGTTTTCAACTTTTTATTGAGAACAAGAGTGTGAAGAGTCTTTGTGCTCTTAGAGGGCGTTCATATCTAAGAGCCACGGGTCACAGCATCATTTCATTAGACCTTTGCTCATGGATATGGGCTTTCTCCATGGAAACGTGGAAAGGACCACTACACCAAATGAGAGGAAGGAAGCCATGACCAATTCATACTACTCCCTAGGCCGGAACTTATATAATATCCTGCAAAATAGAAATAGGCATAGATAATTCTGATCTCAATAGAGCATTGCACAAGTAATATTTTAAGACCGTTGCCCCAGTTCTTATTCAGGGCTAGTAATTCAAATCCCTTCATTATCTTACCACACATCACTTTCTCTCTCATTGCTTCTCAACACATCTCATTTGGTTTTGGCCACTATACTCTCATGGTATACCATGCTTACTAGGCCCTGCTCTATACCTTTGCCCACATTGTCCAGCCAGTGTGGATCCCTTCCATCTTTGGTTGGCCTTCTCTACACCCACCACTCTTTTCTAAATTTCTTTTAGGTTTGTTTATGTATTTCTTCCATGAGTGTGAGAGAGAAAAGAGGGCACCCCCACAGGAGCTCTGCACTATGATCCATCCCTGTCCTTCAGCCAGTCCCAGATAATGGGAACATGTGTGTCCAGCATAATCAAAAGAAGTCTCCAGGCTTGAACAGGAACCTTTCCATGGGGAACAAACTTGTACGTCATTCCTTCCCACCACATCACTGTCAGGGCCTCTCTTTGTTCCTTTATTTACCCAGCTACTGTTCCATTGCCTCTTTAATAGTCAGCAAAAAGTTTATGCAAGTTTTAGCCCTTCTGTCTTAATACCTTTTCAAATGTTCTTGGAATCAACATTTGGAAGAGTATCCAATCACATTTTATACTCTTTGACCATTTTCCCACTATTTTGAGGTACATGTGCATCTTATATCGATTTTTAAAAATGTCTCTATTTCTTTTGTGTGAGAGAGAAACAGAGAGACAGCATCTCCAACCGAGTTGTGACACTATGATCCACTCCTAGCGTCCGCCAGCCTTGGATCATGGGTACATGCATGCCCAGCATACTAGGGAGGTTGCTGGATGCGAACTCAGAACTCTCCCGTGTTGGTCAGTCTTACAGTCACATTTTACCACTACGTCACTGTCCAGCCCACTTATATTAATTTTTTAAAAGATTTTTATTTATTTTTATT